TGCAATCCTCTATGATCATGTGTGACACACCTCCTGTTTTAAGGGAAGAGTAAATATAATTAAAACCTCTTTCTTCATTATAGTCATTTTCATATCAGGGTGCCTGATCATATCTGATTAAAACAAATCCTAGGTATCACTAACAATAACCAAACTCTCGGGGGCTGCATCTAGATAGTTCTCAAGAAAAGATGGTATGAACTTGAGACCCAGTCATCAGGTTGCTACCATGTTAAGCATCCTTTCTTTCCCCTCTGAAGGTAACTTCCTCAAGGGCCACCACCAAATGATACCTCTGAAAAAGGCAGGCAGAACCTCTTAACTCAGAAGGTCATTACTGGGGTTCTGATATAAGTTCATTCTTCCCAATTAATTCTTCAGCTTGCCATGAATGTAGCACAGGCTTCAAAAGGACTGGAGGCCCCATCTGTCTTGCTTACTGCTGTTAACGGTAGTTAGACATGTGCCTGGCACATCATCTGGCTGATGAATGAATGAATGTATAAGAACGGGCATGAGTTGACAGAAATATCCTGCAGAATGCAGCTTGAGGACAGGATAGTATCCAGACTCTCCAATGATGGGATATTTCAAACAGAGGTGTGGGATGGTAGTGGAACTCACAGCATGGCAATGAGTTATGAACACAGGTAATTCCCAGGTCTTATACTTAGTATATATGCAACATGAGACATGTCACCTAACTCCACAGACCTCCCAATCTTTCGCCTATAAACACTGAGAAATGAAGGTGGAGAGATGGCTCAGCAGTTAAGAATACATACTGCTCTTACAGAAGACCTACTACATTCAGTTCACAGAACCCACGTCTGGTAAAAATTCCAGATCTGATGGGCTCTCCTGGACTCTGCAGGTACTACACTAAGCATAAGTACACACACACACACACACACACACACACACACACACACACACACTTAAAAATAAAATCTTTGAAAACTGAGGAATATAACCCAGAGGTCAAAGCCCTACATGTGACCACCAACAGCAACACAGAAAACCAACCTAGAATGACATAATCTATTTCAGAAGGAAAGGATTAAACAGAATGGTCCTTGTAAAACATATTCTGGTCAATATAAGATGCAATCCTACATCTCCATTAGAAACAACCAGCAATGATAGACAAATGCTTTCCAAAGAAGAATAAAAGTTTAGTCGCAACCACAGTAACAATAAAACAAGTTTTTTAAAAGGATGATAATTATTTTGATGAACTAACAGGAACAGAAATCCTAAGTGATAATACAAGTAGAGGTAGCCAAGTCATCTTCCAGAGGTACATGTGCTGCCACTGGAGGTAAAAGCAAACAGATCTCATCTCTATACAACCATCCGCAGCCTGGAACTTATGACCTAAGCTTCCAACTTTAGTTGCTCATTACTTACTTCACCAGAACACTGTACTGTCTAGCAGCTTACAACACTGTAAAACTATTGCTTCCATTTCCAAAGCTGCCCCAGCACTTGGCCCCTTACCAAGGCAAGGTATAGCTAGTTCTCTTACATTGTCCTCCTCCATGCCTCCATAACTCTCTTAGCTCTCTATTTTCTCCCAATCCACTTCTTATTTATAGAATACCCCTGCACAGGGCCGCTTCTGTAATTTAACATATTAATAACTCTATGTCTTCTAAAGGAAGCCTTTCTCAATTATTTACATGGTGATGAGTATTCGCCTCAGAACCATCATAAACCACTTCTAATGGAGAAGGCAGCACTGAAGCTGCTTAGTGCCCAGAGTGAAACATACAAATTACAAGCTACCTTACAAAGCTAGCGTAGCACATACAGCATAAACGAAAGAAATACAAGTTCACCATTCACCCATATTTACTATGCAAAATGAAAGTTTTATGAAGCTTTGAATAATATATATTTGTTCTTCTATATAGGCAACTAATTCTCTGCAGATAGTAATGTATCACTATTAGCTTCCTTCCTGGTGCAAAGCTTCTGAACAGGCAGGAAGGCACCAAAACTTCCCTTGTGGGAGAGTAAGGACTCGGATCTCTGAAGGTTTCCTACCTTTGGAACAACTAGTTCCAAGAGGAACAACAACAAATATAACTATTAAAGCATTGCATGGTTTTCAGGCCTCAGAGAAACTAATAGAGGTTTAAAAATATAGCAGAAGAGACAAGCAAGAAAGAAAAAGAAAATAGGATAAAAGAAAAATCTGTGTTCTACAAGCAAAGAAAAATGCAGGCACCAAAGATCTAGTTCCCATGCCAACACTACAATGGACAGATGTCTGGTCCTTCCAGCCCCTGAGCCTTACCCTCAGAAGTTTTGGGTATTCATCCTGAGATGCCATTAGTAATCCTCAAGGAACAAAAAATAATTCTAATTGAAACCACTCCCAAATTCCTGTCAAAAACTGAAACAAATCCATCTAGATTTAAAAAAAAAAAAAGGCTTAACAAAAACTAAATCTGTGTGATTCATATTGCTCTCACAAGAGATGCAAGAAAAGAAGCCACTGTGTTGGAAAAGATAACCAACAGATTTAAATTACTATACTTTAGACATTAGAATTACCAGATATAATCACAATTCACCAATAAAACTAATATATATGAAAAACTATATAATTTTTCATAGCTGCTCTGTATATAAGCTTGTTTCCATTTCCAATTTGGTCAGATTATTTGAAAAAAAGAAAGATGGGTTTTTAAATTTTCAAGTTTCTTTTTTCTCTGCATTAATCAGATGATGAGTTGTGTATTCCAATTCTAGATTTTTCAGGGACTAATACTTTGCTTGCATTTAAGGTTTCATTCACTGGAGGATTAACCATAGGAAACACAATGACCATGACAAAATAATGTCGTAGATCAAGGCCTGTTGCCCTGTGGAAATGTCCCATGACATACTTTACTCCATTCAAACAGCCTCTCACAGTTCGACCACAAAGTTTCCCTTCCCAGCTAGGTCTGCACATCTGGACTTTCCTTACAGTCAAAGGTTTTACTCCTTTGGGCTGGGGAGATAGCTTAATTAGCAAAGTCCTTTCCACACAAGCAAGCATAGCACATGGTGATGCCTGCTTGTAATCCCAGTCCTGACAAGGCAGAGACAGGAGGATTTCTAGAGCTTTCTGGCCAGCCAGCATAGACTGATAAGGGAACTGCAGGTCCCGTAAGTGACCCTGGCTCAAAACCAAACAAACAAACAAAAAAACAAAACAAAACAAAACCCAAAGTGATTCCTGAAAGACACACCCAACGTTGATTTCTGGCCTTCACACATATGTATACATGTGCATACATGCAGTTTTTCTTTTTTCTTTTCTTTCGACAAAGGTTTGTTTTGTTTTGTTTTTAAATGTAAAACTGGCTGTCTTGGAAGTCACTCTGTAGACCAGGCTGACCTCAAACTCAGAGATCCGCCTGCCTCTGCCTCAGGAGTGCTGAGATTAAAGGCCTGTGCCATCACTGCCCAGCTTCAGTTTATCTTCTTATCCCAAACTATGTACATACAACCTCAAACTAAGACTAACTAACATTCAGAATTTGTAATCCAGGGGTTCCGCTATGTGATTCAGTCTATAAAGGTACTTGAATTTGCTCCCAGAACCCACTTGGTGGAAGGATAAAACCAACTCTCAAAAGTTGTCCTCTGACCTCCACATATGCACTATGAAATGTACACACACACATCAAATAAGTAAATGTTTTAATTTATAATTAATTAATAAACCAAGCACAGTGGCACACACCTTTAATTTTAACATTTAGAAAGCAGAGGCAGGTGGATCTCTATGAGTTCAAGGCCAGCCTGGTCTACACAGAGAGTTCCAAGACAGCCAGGGCTATATCAAGAGACTCTGTCTCAAAAGAAGAGGAAGAGAAAAAAAAGAATCTGTAATGCAGCTCTGAATCTAGTTCTTCTGGTGTCCATAATCTAGCATCTGCTTAGTACATTTGAGCAAGAAGAATTTTATATTTAAAACATACACACACACACACACACACACACACACACACACACACAAATAACCAAAAGCTGAATGTGGTGGCGCATCTCTTCAAGTTCAACACCAGCCTGGTCTACATGTAGTTCTAGGTCAGCTAGGGCTACATAGAGCAACCCGCAACCCTATCTCAAATATATTTAAGAGCAAAACACTGCCAAGAGACTGGCAAAATGGTTCAGCATGTAAAGGCCCCTCTATCAATCCTGACAACCTAAGTTCAATCCCTGAGAAGAGAATTTACTGTAGCAAATTGTCATCTGGCCTTCACATATTTACTGTGGGGTATACACATGTACACAAATAAAATCTAACTTAATTTCTTAGAAAGCCCACAGCCAAACATCATTCCAGCTTCAAAGACTATCCATGTACACAGAGATATAGATGTGCAAAACTCATAACCCATCAGTAATCAAAAATAATTTACCAAAGGGCTGAAGAGTCTCAGTTCTTAAGAGCTGTACTGGCCATTCTTCCAGAGAATCCAGGTACAATCCCAGCACACACAGGGCAAGGAATAACCATCTGTAACTCCAGTCCTAAGTGATCTGACACCTCTTCTCACCTCCAAGGACACTGTACATATGTGGTACACAGACACACATTCAACACACCCCCATCCATACACATAAAAATAATTTTTAAAATGTTATGTATATATGTGGAAAAACTGAGTTTCTGTATGTCAGATTCACATGTCAGTAAGACAGGTCACCTGCAGTTTGGGGACAGAGGACATTTATGTAAAACTCACATAAAAGTTCATATGGAAAGGAAGACAACAAAAGCTATTACTATTTAAAATGTGTTCACTCTTCCAACTAATACAAAAACCACATGAACATTTTTAGCAGTATCTGTTGAAAAAGTGGGTAGAAGGCAAGGTACAGCCATGCACAGCCATTTCTATTTGTCTTCAAGTAAAATTAGGGATCAAATAAAGTATAATTTTTTTAACAAAAACTTTAAAAGCTGAAAAAATAACAATAACCAAACTTACTTCGAAAAGAAAGAGGATGGAGTCCAGCTCCTCCCTTTGTGACTTATTATTCCCTGGAAATTAAGAAAAAGACATTAGTCAGCATGCTAGCACTTAAGCTTTAGAATATCACACATGATGCTGAAAAGCATCATAAATTAGAAACTACTGAGACTAGGGGGTGGGGTGGGGAAACACTGCTAGGAAGAGGGCCAAGTTGTCACATCAGGTCCATGTCAACCACAGCTGCCTCTAACTCTCCTATACTAGCTCTTCAGACAGAACATCCATGTTTTCCAAATTTGTTTCCTAACTAGGTACTCACCAGCTCAAATTATGGTAAAAATGCACAGGATAAACAATGATAATGTTAACAAGCACAGAACATGAACATCTATAGAGAAGAGTCTGTCTCCTTCACTGTACAGTTTCATACTTCATTTTTTTCTTTTTCCTTTTTTATTTGTTTTTTTTTTGAGACCGGGTCTCATTGTAGCTCAGGCTGGCCTCTAACTTGATATGTAGCTGAGAATGGCCTTGAATTTTAATTCACCTGCCTCCACCTCCCATAAACTAGGACTACAGAAGGTGTGCCACCATACTCAGTTTAAAAAAAAAAAAAAAAAAAAAAAAAAAAAAAAAAAAAAAACTCAAACATTTATTTATTTATTTATTTATTTATTTATTTATTTATTTAGGTTTTTCGAGACATGGTTTCTCTGTGTAGCTTTGGAGCCTATCCTGGCACTCGCTCTAGAGACCAGGCTGGCCTCGAACTCACAGAGATCCTCCTGCCTCTGCCTCCCGAGTGCTGGAATTAAAGGCTTGTACCACTAATGCCCCTCATACTCAGTTTTATGTGATGTTGGAACCAAACCTGGGTTTCCTGCATGCTAGGCAAGCTCTCTACCAATTGAGCTGCATTTCCAGTCCCCTAATGCCCTTTTGATAATATTAATTAATAATAATATAAAAACTACCATATGCCTCCAGCAGGAATTATCATTTACTGTCTATAGTATGTCCCAGATATTGTGCTACACATGAGGCTTAAGTCATCTAACTTAAGAATTAGCAGATAGTAAATATTTTAGTTTTTGCAAATCTCTCTATCAGACTCTGTTGCCACAGGCTGTACGTAAATGAATGGAAATGGAGATAGCAGTATCCAATGAAGCCAGTGGGGTGTGGTGGCCCACACCTGTAATACTGGTAGTATGGGAGGCCAAGAATCACCAGCCTAGGCTTCACAGCAAGAACCTGTCAACAACAAGAACAATAACAAAAGTCAAGTAAGCTATTAGTTGCAGGCTCCTGACCTAACTGAATCCTCATAACTCTAAGAAGTGGCTATCATTTACTCATTTACAAATACTAAAAACTATGTGTTTCTCAGGATTTCTGCTGGGCCCTGAGGACAAAGAAATAAACCACACAACCAACACGCCCTGCTCTGGGAAAGATTACATTTTGACAGGAGAAGGCAAACTGTAAGTAAGCTAGAAAATGAATGAGCAAAAGCAAATAGAGAATACTAAAACCAATATGCAATTCTGAGTTGGGAAGTTAGGAAATACTTTGCTGGAAAAGTGACAACTAGGCAAAGATGTACAATGGGCAAAGAAGCAAGCTAAACAGAAATATGAGGAAGTCACACCCCAGGCAGGGAGAGTGGACCAAAGTTCCGATAGCTGAGCATGCTTGAGAGGAAACAGCCAGAAGGACCTGAAGGCTAGAGCAAAGATGGGAAGATTTGAGCAGATAAGCTTAGAGAGTAGGTGTGGCAAAGGAAGGCAGATGTGGACAGGATAAAGTCACTATAATGATTTGAGAATGAAAAGCCATTGAGGACTAAAGCCTCAATGATCATGTAAGTCATGACTTCAGCTACTCTTTTGGAAAGAAACATGGGGGTAGAAGAAAACACAGAATGGAATCGAGGAGACTCTTTCTAAGGCTAGTACCAGTCTAGATGAGGATACTAGAAGCTTTGGTGTTATCAATGTGAGTGAGGAGACATGCCAATGATACATTCTAGAAAGCCAGCATCTCCAAGGTTTTGTCCTGAATAACTGGAAACCTGAAGTTACCATGAAATGATTTCATTATTCCTAGTAAACATTTTTTTCTTCCCTTTGGGAGGCACACTTTCCTTTTTGCACTCCAATACAGACTGCACTAAAAACAAGAGCTTCCAAAAATCTCACCCTGATCCTACTGGTTATCACTGAATCTTTGTCAGAGCTTCCAAAGGGGAGCACAGTCTTTTCCTTTTCTATCTCTAGAATCTGAACTGCCTCGTAGTTTAGCCTTTGACCAATATGACTCTAGCAAATATGAGGCATTATGGCTGATCCCGAGACTCTGAGGCCATCCTATAAAGGAATTCAATCTGGCCTGCTGGCTGGATGATAAATCTCCACAGTAACACATTTTGGCCAATTGTAAGACATATGACTGAGGCCATCCAAACCAGCTAGTAAACCAGAACAACTTTCTAACAGTACTACAGAACCATATGTGGAATGGTGGTTGTTTCAAGGCATTCAATTAGGGAGTGTTTTTTACAGAGCACAAACCAACTGATACAGTCTTGAAATACCACAAATTTTCTAAAAGAATGGATATAATAAAGGTGAAAAAAGAGGAGGAAAGAAAGAAGAGAAAATGGGTTATGACTTAAAATAATTTTAGACAGTTGGCTTTTTATTTTAATTTATTTATTTATTTATTTATTTATTTTGGTTTTTCGAGACAGGGTTTCTCTGTGTAGCTTTGGAGCCTATCCTGGCACTCGCTCTGGGGACCAGGCTGGCCTCGAACTCACAGAGATCCTCCTGCCTCTGCCTCCTGAGTGCTGGGATTAAAGGTGTGCACCACCAATGCCCACAACAGTTGGGTTTTTAAACTATCTGATATTTTAATTTTTTTCACTGGTGTGTGTGTGTGTGTGTGTGTGTGTGTGTGTGTGTGTGTGTGTTGAAACAAGGTGTCACTATGTAGCCTTGGCAACTTTCAAACTCACTATATAGACCTGGCTGGCCTTGAACTCAACAGATCTTCCTGCTTCTGCCTGAGTGCTGGGGTTAAAGCTTGAGCTACCACACTCTATTTTGAATGAAAAAATCATGACTCTTTTCTCCTCCACATACCTATAAAAAAAATAAAGTGGAGTAAAGCAAAACTAATAAAGTAAATACAGATCACTTCATATTTAGAATATCTACCCTTTGGGCCAAAATAAATTTTCTTAAGTTCAAGATTTATACCAACTTATTACTCTGAGATGGAAACTAAGAAACACCTTAAGAAAAGCACACACTGGCATCCCAGGCACAGCCGAAAGCTCTTGGTCAGACTCTAAGTCATCTTTTACATACCAGAGCCCTGAACACTGACACATATGCCTTCTCCTCCACTCACAGGGCACACTTCTGTTTGACCACAGCAACTGATGTACCTCAGGAAGTCCTTCAGTTTTTCTTTCTTGTCCCCCAAAAAATCTGCCTACATTCATCCTCTAGCTTTTCTCCTTAGACAAAAGGCCACTACTGTTTACTTGACTCCCTTCTCCAACCCCCACACTATCTGCTACCTCTCCTCAGACTGCCTACAGGTAGGTGCAGGCAGCCCTTAGCAATCCAGTTTAAGACACACTCCCTGACTACACATCACAGCTGCATGGGTACTTTTCCCAGCTCTACACCCCTCTGCTCCATGTCCACCTGACAAGCTTCTGACTGTTCCTCACCAAGAACTGTCCTCAGGTCAGATGTGAGCTCTCATTTCCTAATCCTACTGCACCTCATGTTTCTGCATCATCAGGCTTTGTGATCTTGCATGCCTTGAAATCTCTCCCCTGGACTTCTGTGACAACATGATTTCCTAATACCCTTCTGATGGCGGATGGCCTTCTGTATGCTGTGGCTATATGTTTCTCTTATTGGTTGATGAATAAAGCTGTTTTGGCCAGAGGACAGGCAGAATTCAGCTAGGCGGGAATTACGAAGAAAGAGAAAGAAGAAAAATAACAGACACCATGTAGCAGCTGGGAGTCAAGAGACCTGGGTATCACCAGTAACCCAAGACCATGTGGAGAAACACAGATTAATAGAAATGGGTTAGTAATTAAGAGAGAGCTAGCCAGTAAGAAGCCTGAGTCATAGGCTAAACAATTGTAACTAATATTAAGTCTGAGATTGGTTATTTATTAAGCAGCTATAGGACCTAGTGGGTGGAGAGAAAACCGGTTCAGTGGGACTGAGATAGATGGAGAAAATCCCCTTTTACACTCTTCCACTAATGTACCTCTCTCCTCTGTATTTGTTGACTCCATTTTCCTTAATATACTTTCTCTCTTGGCAACAGCAAGCTTCTATCCTCTTCTCCCAAGTTCAGATAACCTATATTTCTGCCGCTCAGCCAACACTTATTCCTGTGTCCCACAAGTGCTTCAAATACAAACTGGTCAGAGTTGCCTTCATTCTCTTGCCTCCCAAATATTGTTCTCCTTGAAGGTTTCTGTTACCTCATAAATCAAACTGGAACCCTGACAGGTTCTTTGACTTCTCCCTCTCCTTTGTATTCTGTCTCACAGGAACTCTTCCTCCTCCCTTAACCATTACCTTGCTGTGTCCATTTTTGACAGTTCTCCAGCAGAGTAGCAGCTCTCACATGGGGGGCAGCACCAGCCCCCCAACTCACCTCTGTGCCCTATGCATTCACAGCTTAACAGGACACTTGTCTCAGAGACTAATGGTTTTAAAGGCTCTAACTAAAAACAAAGTCCAGACTCCTCAGCCCTGGAAGTCAGGGTTCCTGACAAACATAATTGGATTTCCTACATATCTCATTCACATAACTTGTGTTGCAAGAAAAAGAAACACATGCCCCACACATGCCCTAAGGGCACTTACTACCTTTGCTCGGCTCTGTTCTCTACCTGCAATGCTCTGGTCCACTTCAAACCCTACTTCCGCTCCATCCACCCACCTATAACCTTCAGGCTAAGTTCATCACCTATGACTAATAGAGGGATCAATCATGCCTAAATAATGAAGCCTCCATTAAACCCAAAAGATTCTAGCTAAAGGAGCTCCCACAGTGTGAAGAAGAATGTATTGTGTACATGCAGAATAGTGTTCTCCAACTCCATGCAAGGAAGTTCCTGTGCTCTGGATCTTCCAGACCTTACACACAGCTCCTTATCTGGCTGTTGGTAAGCACCCTTTTTTTTATATATATAAACTATTTATTTATTTATTATGTATACAACATTCTGCTTCCATGTATATATGCACACCAGAAGAGGGCACCAGATCTCATAACAGATGGTTGTGAGCCACCATGTGGTTGCTGGGAATTGAACTTAGAACCTCTGGAAGAGCAGTCAGTGCTCTTAACCGCTGAGCTATCTCTCCAGCCCCAAGGTAAGCACCCTTTAAAATCTGTATTATTCATGTATAATGCAGTAAATGAACAAAAACTTTGTAATAAATATAAATAAGGTAATTTCCCTACATTCTACTAGCTCTTTTAGCAAATTAACCAACGCTGAGAAGAGAGTATTAGACTCCTGATTATAGTCAGTCTGTAACTATACAGACAGCAATCTAGAACCTGCAACTGACATTAAAGGGGACAGCCTCATGGCACTCAGTCCTTAGCCTGCAGGATCTGAAACTATCTCCCAGCAGCCTGGGAAGACTGAATGGAGTTAATAGGCCCCAGCTGATGTTTGCTGGAAACTCTAGCAGCAGAATGTTATGCTGAGTTGGTGTTAGAGACTGGAGAAAACACTTCTGCTTATTTTTCCTAATTTCCCAAACAGATGACATGAAATGGAAAGGCAAAGACAGTAATGGCCCTTACTGACCAGGTGCTATGTGCCAAGCTCTGTGCTGAAATCTTAGTGCATCTGTTAACCTGCTTCTTGCTGACAGGAGGAAACCAACACAGATAGACCAAATAATGCTCAAAGAGAAACAGCAGGAAGAGTGAGGATAGTCTGTCTTCCTAGCTACTCAATTCTCTCACCTAAATTCCCATAGCTGATCTGCTTTCCAAAGAATATTTTACATATGGGCATAAACATGAAAACATATACAAACAAAACTCATTGATAATACAAAAAAAAAAAATCTCTACAGACAGCAGGTACAGGCAAAGGAGACACTCTGGCTTTCATTTCACATCCCCTTTAGTGGAATTTGATTTTGCTGGTGGTATTGTTTTATTGTGTTTGGCTTTTGTAACAGGATCTCACTATGTAGGCCAGGCTGAATTCATGATTTTCCTGCCTCTGTCTCCATAGTTCCAGGATTATAGTTTATGCTAGCAAATGAGGCTTAAATCTGGATATTTTTTAAAATGTCCACGCATTATTTTTCCCCTTGCTCCTTAAATAACTTATCCCTTTGTAATTCATGCCTTCTGGGTTCCTTCTACTTTACCTTTAGTCATCTGCTGTTCAATTAACACCTGTGTAAGGGAACACTCCAGGGAAAAAGTGATGCCAACCAGTCCACCAGAATAATGTCTCAAAGCCCGGGAAGAAAGCAAGCTTAAAAATGCAGAACTTGTGGCTCATGACAACATAACTTCTGAAATTTCCTGTGTACTCAAAAAAAGAGCTATAGAAATGCTTACCTTTTAACTTCAAGCTATTTTCCAGTGTTATAAAATTTTCATAGAAGATGAAATATATCTGAGAATAGTTGGTCTCAAAAAACTGCTTAAGATCGCTTGCATCCACATTATCTGAAAAGAGAAGTTTGCATTTACATTATTGTTAGAATTCACAAATATAGCCAGGTATGGAGACTCAAGTCTTTAATCCAAGCACTCAGGAAGTGGATCTCTGTGAGTTCAAGGCCAGTCTAATCTACAAAGTGAGTTCCAGGACAGCCAGGGATGTTATAGAGAATCCCTGTATTAAAAATAAATAAGTAAAACAACAAAAAAGAATTCATAAACATTTCAGAAATGGAAGAAAATAAAGCTAGTCTTACTCCCTTATGAGAAAAAAAAATCATATTCGCACTTGTTTATTCACCTAAGAGAGGTCAGCACTGCACAGAGAAAGAGCACCACTCACCACACAAATGTGCAGAAAACTGTGAGGCCCACAGGTCAGAACTAATTGGGGACAACACTCACAGACAAGCTGAAAGGTTGGAGAAAGTGGGTGGGTCTGCTGAGTTTTCTTTGGTGAGAAGGAGACATAGAGGTTTATGGAAGAGGCAGTTTTGACAGGGGCCTCAAAGAGGGAACGGTCTTGGACTTCTGGAAAGTAACTGGTAGGGCTCTTATACAGATCAACCTCGCCTCCTCTCCACCACCACCGTGCTCTAGGCACAAAGAGAAAGCAGTTCAAGTGACCCAGTGTGTCCTCCCAATACATCCCTGAAGCCACACACATCGGGCTCACATTCCTTCCCTCGCCTCGGTGTCCCACCCTCACTCCCTCACCCTCAATATTGTTGATCAAGAGTTCCTGTTGTGCCACGTGGCTTTGCTAAGATCAGGGACTACATGCCAGAGATGGGTGGTTGTTACCATTCCCACTGGGGTTCCTTCTTCCCAGGGGTCTGATCAGCCCAGGAAACAACCTCACGGCTAAGGGAGGTTATCCACTTTCAACAAACCTTTGTCCATTTTTCTAAGATAGCAATGTTGTTTTGTGCCATTTACAAGATCCTGATTATAATGCTGTAGAATTATACATATAAGGGAAATTAGAAACAGTCTCAAAATTCTAAAGATTACTCAAGAATAGAAACTGATGGTGCCATTCAATCTGTAACAGAATAATATTCCCTATGTTAGTAGTCCTAACTAATACTGTAACTCCATGTGGCACACTCACTGCAATGCCCAATTAACAAACAGCATGGATCTGCAGAACTGACTTCCTTTGGTTATCATAGAAAACCCTTTAGGGTAAAAATTGTTACAAGGTCTTTAGAATAATGCATCTTAGATGTTTACAAACTCATAGGAATTGTCAATTTCATTTTTGCTGCCCAAAATAAAACACCACCAAACAATAGATTCTCAGTAACTGACAAATTTACCTTGGTGAAAACAGGCACAAGTGAAAGTAATATCATCACCCTCATGAACACCATCATTTTTTTTTTCTGTGTATTTACTTACTCACTTCTTTATTGGTTTATTTAGAGACAAGGTCTACAACCCAAGCTGTCCTCCAACTCCCTACATAGTGGAAGATGACCCTGAACTTCTAATCCTCCTGCTTCCACTTCTCCGGGGCTATATCTCGCTTTATGTGGTACTATGGGTCAAATTCAGAGTCTCACACATACTAAACAAGCACTCTACCAACTGAAGGACATTCTCATCTCTGACTACCTTCATTCTTAGGAGCAACATAATCTTTCTAGGAATCCTCAATAGCCCTACTCAGAATCTGCCTGTTGCAACATGACATCTACATTCGGATGACCTTGGGGTTTCCTGCTTGTAGGTACACAAGTAGTAGTCATTATTTTATCACTGACTGTTGTAGGGTGTTTCTTTTACTCAATTGATTTAAGAAAATATCACCAAACTACTGTGATAGGTTAGGGTTTTAGTGGTGTATGAGTGGGACTGTAGGCTCTATGAGGACAGGGACTATATCACACAAAGAAGACCAGATTCGATCAGGAATCCAGCATGCCTTGGGGAATGAAGCTGTATGACATGTCCCAGGACAGGGGAGGAACAGGGTGGAAGTCACACAGTGGAGGTGCAGTCAGACTGGCAGGAAGGACTGTGTATATTTTAACTACAGCTCAAACCGAGTGGCAAGTTAGGCACTAAATGCCCTTTCTGCCAGGGCACTAAGTACCGATGTCCCTGTCACTGTCAGGCTAAAACACACCACCCCACTGCTAGCCTATCTGCACCTCCACTGAGCAATTATCCCTAATAACCACCTCCACTGCACATGGCTGCCCCCCCCCCAGGCCCAACACTCTAGTCTGTGATGTCTTTATAGTCCTCAAAGTTCCCTAACATATTTTCCACTTGGATCCCCTCAAGGACACTGGCTTGACTCCCATATCATCCTATAGCTAGTTTGGCCTCATCCTTCAGAAATGGGATCGCACATTAGTCAAAGAAATCCACAAATGTCTCAAGTGTCACTCTGCACTTTTCATCCTATCTCCTGCCTTTTTCCTTGCAGTGAAAGGGCTTCGGACTCAGGAAGCCACAAGGAAAAAATTATTCCCTTAGCAGGGAGGTACAGGTAAAGAAGCATCAATATAGCCCAGAAAGGTTTCTAGATGATCAGCAACTCTCTCACCTCATCCCTTGACCCTGATGCCTCCAAGACATTTAAAATACTAGCAACCAGAACAGACAGGCCTCCAGAACTGAAAGGCTTCCATATAGACACAATGCTTTCCGGAAGCCAAAAGGCCAGGTAGCAGCCACCTTCTTCCTCAGCCATCTATAGTAGTTGTTGTTGATAAGAGCATAAAGCTCTCACTGGCAGGACAAAGTAGCTACCTTCAAGGTCATCCAGTATACCATAAGCCAGGCATAGCACTAGTAACACACTCAGTTTATCTATACCAGCTCAGGACTCCTCACTATCCTGGGAGTCCTCATCAAAGATAGCACTAAAATGAGCCAAAATTCCATTTACTCAGTTATGTCTTATTATTTGGCACCCTCATTAGAACAGAAACTGCAAGATAGCAGGAATTCCACCTACATGGTTCACTGCTGTCCCTTCTGCCCCAGGAAATGACCTGGGCTCCCCATTTGTTAAGTGAATGAACAAAGTCTGAATATCAAATGTCTTGCACATTTAATCCAAGATTCAGGAATATAGAATAAAGATAGGTCTTATAAAAGGCACTGGAATTTTGCATCTTGATACAAAAATGGGTTAAAACAAAGTATTTTTTAGCAAAACCAACCTTAAGAAGAGATATAAAGAACAGGTTTGCTCAGGAAGGAGGGACCCCTATAACTACAAGCTTTCTTTAGACAGGCTTTTTTGATTAATGCACTCACTTATTATGCCCTATCAGTGCCAAGTAGCACTCTGCCAAGTGCTTAGAAATTCAAAGAGAATAAGAGCCAAGGTCATCAAGATGAACAAGTGAACATAACCAACAACAGCCAGGGCACCAAAGCAAGAAGTAGATAACCCCACAAAGGCAAGTTTGGGACATTAATAATGCATATATTTATGGTCTGCTTTTGTCTTTACAAGGTATTTTCACGAGTTATTGTATTCTGACCTCACTACAACACTGTGAAGTAGATGGAGCAGTGTGTGGGGTGGGGAGCACCCTTAAATAATGATCTCCTTTGACCTGTCCAAAATAACAAGCAAGTTAGGAATTCCTGCCTGAGTTTCTGACTTCAAATCAAAGCTGGAAGGCAGGTGAGGAATTTAGAAGAAATAAATGCCCCCTGGAGATGTGCAGAAAAACCACAGGAAAAACAGGAGGTGCTCAAAGTAAGAAGGCAGAGCAGCGTGAACAACAGTCAGTAAGAGTGGGGAGCAGCAGGCCAGGTCACAGCTTCAGGGACTGGGGGGGAAAAGGGAGGGGGCAGGAGAGGAGAGAGCCAGGTGGGAGGCCTCCCCTGATTCTCTGTGTCTGACAAGGACGCTAGCATGCTGTCTTATTACCACCAGACACCTCGGCCAAGTACTTCCAAAAAAACCACAGGGAAAAGAATGCCAGACAGCCCTGCAGAGCTTGAGGTCAGTTCTAAATTCTGAAAGTAACCCTTAATTACTCATTCTCCTTCACCATCAGCAGCCAGTAAACTGCATTACTTTCCCATTATCTCTCAAAGATAATCTGGTATAGCACACCAAACTTTGTACTCCTTATACCAACACTTCTTTCTCCACTTCCAGCTGGAGGTCGACAGCAAAGACTAAGGGGAAAACCTTTGAAGCAGACTGTCTGCCTTTAAGTGCAGAAGCTACAGGGTCGGAGACAAATGGGATAAAATTTTTCCTCAATTTCATCTGAAAAACAAGAAGAACAATAGTCCCTATATTGCAGGACTACAGTGATGAGAAAATAAGCATATGCAGAATGCTTGTAGAATGTCAGTTGGTATCATATAAATGTTAGCTGTTTTTATAATTACTTAGCTCCTGGCAAAGCTCTCTCACCAGGAAGAAATAACACAACCTCACCTATGTATGAAGCCATCAAATTCAATGACTCAGAAATTCATATACTTAATGAGACCATCCCATATTAAAAGTACTTAATCCCAACACAACAGTAAATACTGCCAACAAGCATACCCATGAACCCAGGCCAATTCTCCCTCCATCTCCTTCTACACATAATTTTTTTCAATGGCAATTCTTTCACTCTTTAGTTAGAGGGTCAAAACATAGCTACATGAGAACTTGCTTCAGCAGATCCCTATAATACCTCATGAAGGGGAACCTTTAGCCCAATCAGGAGTCCAGCTGGACTCAAAAGAAAAGGGGGAAACTCAAGCCCAGCTCCTTGGTCATAGAGAGGACATTTAGCCCTCCTTTACTCACACCTCACAGCTAAGAGCCACCTAGTTCTGGACACGCATTTGTGTGTATTTTCTACTTTAGTCCAATTCCCTGAACAATTTACTGAAAGCCTGATGATCAAAAATCATAGGCTTGTGACAATGAAAAAAGACAAGTGAAGAATTCTAAATGATTGTTTAGAAATACTTGGTAAGAACAAGGAAACTGGAGGCTGGGAGGTGACTCAGTAAGTGTTTGC